GTTTGTTGTTTGTAACAATTTGTCATTATTCACCCCTGATACTATATTGCAGTCGATCGAACAGGACCCCGCACGGTTTTTAACAGCATTGTCGCAATAGGCAGAGAATCATGACCTCAAACGTGAAACGAACACGAACATGCACTTTGAACAAGATTCCTCGTATTATTTTACGTAATTAAATATTTCCGTTTTTTGTTTTTGTAACAAAATTGCTCATGCCGTGCGAACCGGATCTTGCATGATTAGATGAGCACTCCGCGCCTTAAACTGATCAGTCTGTATATAGATAGCAGACGACAGCTAAAGTTCGTACGTCTCCTTCTCTGCTCAGGTCATCCTATCGGTCGTCATCGTCTGGATGTTCTGCGCGATTCTGACGGTAGCTGGCGCTCTCGGCGATACTCCGGACGAGATGGGCTACCACGCGCGCACCGACATCCGACTGGATGTCCTTCAGAACACCGCCTGGTTTCGCTTCCCCTACCCAGGTAGCGCTGCTGTCGCGCACGCGCGTGCAGAAAGAAATGAGGCGCTTGTTTCATGTCTGTGACTAATTTGATTAGATATTAATTTGATATATATTGTTGGCTTTATCGCGTAAACAGTATAAGTTTATATAATTATTAGTATATTTGATATTGAGTTATTTGATTCGCGTGGGATATTTTTTCGCTGTTCTTATATTAATTTTGAGATGCAGATTTTCACGCCTTGAGAATGATCTCGCAATCCTGACCGCGATTTGAACCCGCGACAAGCGACGTAAAAGATGGCTGCGCCTCAAGCTGTGTCTCCGCGAAGTTTCTCGCGTCATTAGGGTTTCTCGCGTAAGTTTTCTCGCGCCTATAAGGTTACTTGAGCCATGTTCGGCGCAGGGGTCAGTGGGGGGAGGGGAGTATCAACTATCAGTACTGCAGAAAAGACGCGCGCTTGTTTCCGTTGCGCCACGGCTAATGACGCGGCCCAAAGGAAAGATGTTCGCTTGTTTCTGTCGCGCCGCGACTAACGACGCGGCCGAAAGGAAAGATGTGCGCTTGTTTCCGTCAAGCCGTGGCTAATGACGCGGCCAAAAAGAAAGATGTTCACGTGTTTCCGTCGCGGCGCGACTAACGACGCGACCGAAAAGAAAGACATGCGCTTGTTTCTGTCGGTTTCTTTCTAACGCAGCGACGGATGGTGTCTACTCGGCAGGTCAGTGGGGCCTTCCGACAGTGAGCACCGCAGGCGTGTTCGGCATGCTGGCGGGTGTCATGGCGTCGATGCTCGAGTCGATCGGAGACTACTTTGCATGCGCGCGTCTGTGCGCCGCGCCGCCGCCGCCGGTGCATGCTATTAACCGCGGCGTGCTGGTAGAGGGCGTTGGCTGCGTGCTCGGCGGTGTGTGGGGATCGAGTAACGGCACGACGTCATACAGTGAGAATGTCGGAGCCATCGGCATAACAAAGGTTGGGGGGCCGAGGGGGGCAGCTGCCCCTTAGATTTTGGAGCAAAATTAAAAAATAAGCTTAGCTAACAATCGTAAATAACCCTAACGTGATTTATATGGTCACATCCGTGAAAGCCTTGTCTCAGACCCACCCCTACCACACTATGGACGTCGATCAAGAGCTGCGACCGTCGCTCATCATTACACAGTTGAATTATAAAATTTTGCCCTCCCCCCCCCTAAGAATTTGCTCAGCCTACGGTCCGGAAGGCGGTGTCACTTCGCGGGCTGGTGATGAATGAGGGACGGCCGTGTCGCGGCCACAAAGCTTACTGTGTTTCTGTCTGAGCACTCGCATCACAGGTTTGATTGCCTATCAGGGGCGGAGCCTGTGTGTGAGGGTGGGGGACGAAGGTTAAGACTACCACCCTGTGACTTCAGGCCTGAGAAATTGGTTTCACTTGACATAAAAATATATAAACACCCGTATAAAAATATATTGCGCGAATCCGTGGGATTGCAACCGCATTTCTCCTAAAACAAATCTGTTGTCGCACCTAAATTAAACCCCCAACCCACCCATAGGTTCTGCATTCCCCGAACCTTCTTTTGAAACACCGAAACCCGCCCCTGAGACTATATGAGCTTCTATTCGTTGCATTTTTGTCGAGTTGATTGCCCTTGGTATATAATTAAAGTTGATATTTGGGATTGACTATACAGCTCCGGCTCGGCTCGAATGAAAGAGTATCCGACAGATAGAATAACTCGCGGTGGGGACACGCGGGGTCCAGACACCTGGATTGCTCTCTCAGCATGTCGATTACGTGGCTCGCCTGAGAAAAAAAAATCCAATAAAATAACGCGTTAAAATATAATAAGTACATAACAAATATGTTGATTATAATAATTATAATAAATATGTGAATAGGAAAGCAAACAAATATATAAAATATTAACTGAAGTGCATAAACATTTAATTAGGCAACGCGAATAACGTAATTAGTAGGTTAACATACTCCTGATGATGATGGTGATGACGATGGTGATTACGATGAGGATGATGATCAT